CCAGCAATTTAGCACGTATACTGTATGCCCACTTAATTCCAATGGAGATCCTTAAAATAATCATGGCAGTGGAGTGAGCTCCACCCGTGTGGTCTTCTGAGGCTCCTCTCAGATCGGGGGCATGCCAAGTCATTGTTTCTAGGAGTGTCGCACCCCAAGAAGTCCGAGGTCCACTATCATTTGATCTCCAATCCGTATGAGGAGTTCAAAGGATTTCATGGTCTTCCCCGGGCCGTCCACTTCCACGGCCTCGACTCCTTCCACGTCGGAAGCGTCGGAAGCGTCCGAACTCCTCGCTTCGCTTCGCTGGCGGAAGCCTCCGGTCGCGAAGCTCCAGGACGCGCACTGCGAAGCTCCTCACGAGTAGTTCCAGCTTGCCGGAGCTCCTGGGACCTGGTTGGTGTGGAAGACACCAAAGGTGGGAAGAAGGCTGACCGAATAGTAAAAGACATGCAGGAAAGATGGCAGGTGGATTCTCGGATCGTGTTGTGGTTTGCACTGCTTGCAACCCGCCAAAAGAGAGATTGGTGCTTTTAACATGTTGATTCTTCTGGTTTCGACCTTTTCTCATGTATTCTTTTCCCCGTTTCGCTTCGCGGTGTCCAGTTTTTTGGGGGGAGGACCACGGTGCGGGGCCGAGCGAGCTCGGAGAGGGTGGACCAGCTCGGAGAGACGGGTTTTCACGGCCGCAGTGGCCGCAGCTCTGGACCGACACCTCGGCTGGTGTCGGTCCTGGTGTAGTCGGAAGAGTCGGGTGTCGGTCATGTTGGGTCGTCCAAACCGTGAACCGAGTAGCCCAACCGAGGGCGGTGTGAACCGAGTCTGCATTTGGGGGGGAGTATGTAGGTGTTGTTTGCTTTGGCCGATCGTTTTGGTGATGTTTCTCTTCCCGGTTCCGCAAAGTTCTGAAGATGCAACCCATAGCAGCGTAGAAGAAAACGGCAACCATGGTACTCACAGACATCATCAAAGGGATGGATGAGTTCGGCTGGGGGCTTTCATGCAGTGGGCACATCTATTTAATTTCATGTGAGAACATAGGAACTCCAAAAAACTACCATGATCCAGGGATCCTTTGTTTCATGATGGTAGCCACCCTTCTACGGTACTCCAGAGGATCCCCCCCCCCTTTCAAGAACAGAGGAACTCCCCTGCCTCCCAGACGGTGGCTCCACACGAAACCATGAGGCCAGGCCTCAGGGGGCAGAACGGGAGGAGAAGCTTCTCCTCCGGGTCACCAGAGGTCACAACGAGAATGACCATCCGAAATACACACACCGGGAGGAGCCGCTCCAACCTTCTGAGAAGATGATTTGGGGCTGCCAGGGAGGTCTAACCTGAGGATATGGGCCAGGAGCCCTAAGGACATGAATTGATGTTAATTTCATCATCATACATCCTAAACAGCTTTTTGAACCATCAGCGACGTTACTCATAGCATGCCGGCAGGGCACCTGGTGTCATAAATCTTAAAGTGGCCTGTTGTGATCACGTTTCGTCACTGTCGGAGATCCCCGCGTCCTTAACCCTCCTGTATTCAGCCTTCTGGCTAAGCAACAATCAAGGAAAAAAAGAAAACACATTAAATGACTGAGTTCTTTGGCAGAGTCTGACTCATGTCCCGTTCCTGTTCCTTCCTCTTGGTGTCATTATTCCGAATTGCGCTGGTGGCAAAAACAGATCAGATAGCCCATGGATCCAGGATCCGATCGCAAGACGGAAGACTTGAATACTACCTATATATGGTAATACCTGGACCATCCTTACGGGTGCCCTGTCTGGAGGCCTATCGGTAGTGTAGGGTAGTCCAGCCAGGATACCCAGGCAGGATGGTCCTGGTATAGCCGCTTCGTCCGTCCGAGACCGGTAGAGTGGTCCCGACAGGTGAACCCAGACACGACGACAGCAGCTGTCTAGCCCAGACACGACGACGGGGCAGATGGACCGATCATGTCTGAGGTGGGCCAGTTTAATGCAGGGGTGGGCCATGGTGGGCCCTGATCTGTACATATTCCACGTGTACACAATGGAGTGTTTGGCTAGGTCGGGTAATAGGTGTTTCCAAATGATATAAAACGTGTCCTCCGTTAAAACGCCTGCTTGGCAGGCCGTTTAGCCTGCAGCTCACTCAACATCCCGACTGGTTCGACGGGTTCGACATGGTTCGACTGTTTCACAGTCGAAGGGTATGCCAGATCCAAGTGCCTGTGACACAGATCCAAGTGCCTTTGGGTGGTCGATCACCGATCGCCGCTCCGCTGGTCGTTTCAAGGATTGCTTCACCCGCGGGAGCATGAAGGCAAGAGCAGGGTGGGAGGAGATGTGGGATATCGGATACTACGCTATAAAGAATGGCCCGTTCAGTAGCAGAGGTCCATTTTTGCAGACTACTTCACAGTGTGAAACCACAGTTGAGACCACTTGCATGCCACATTTTGGGCGGGGAGCAGATGAGATGATCCAGTTGGTCTTGATATCCCTTGTGGGCTCTTTGGGGTACTGTTTTTCGCAGTGTTACGACCGCCCCGTAAGATGAAGGTGTGACTCCTGCGCGCCTACCCGCGCGCCCGTTTTTGCGCGGGTCCACCGGGTGCAGGTCTTGGTTTTGGAAGGTGAGTCCGGTGTAACCAGAGCCATGGTCGTAACCAGGGCCTGCAGCATGTTCTTTTCCATTCCTATGTCAAAAGAGATGTTTCTTGTGACCTGAACTAGGACTCGTCACCTGGGGTACCCAACTGGGATAGTCTAGTTCGGGTCCTTCAACCTCTGTTGGATGTCAAAACAGGTCAAATTGTGGTTTCGAGATGTTTCGAGTTCTATATAGTTCTATATATTCCCTAGGATTCAAGCAACCATTAATTTAATGGTCTTTACCAAAGAACCATTGTTTTACTAAGGATTTTTACACTACACCACCAGCTCGTTCCCGTTCTTTTAATGGTCGAACTGAAGGCTAGGGTATTCCTGAGAACGACTTGGGAGTCACGATGAGTCACGGTACCCTGCGGAGAGGTATATACTTTACAGTGCGTGGACGGAGATGAGCGACCCTGCCAGGACCTTCCCAGAGGTCTTCAATGAGCTACCCTACATTACTTGTGCATTTCCATGCGAATCTCCATTGGACAGCCAGTATATAATGTTAGATACATTTAATGTGCTCTTTTGCTTGGGGTCGTTTGCGTCAAAAATCTCCTTTGTTCCACAGAATGCGAACTCCCCAAGCGAGGAAATGTGCATGGGAACACCCCAGAAGTCTAGGCTTCATACGACAAATTCACCTGTCCGATAAATAAGGTTTTGTCCTATAGGAGCCCATCGCTATTAGGTTGGAGGCCATCGGCCATCGCTATTAGGTTGGTGTTTTGTCCTTTCCTTCATAGCATTTGGCGGACTTGCAAGCCATGGCGCCGCTCCAAGGTCAGCTTCGACCTTCACTGAAGGGGACCAGCAATGGAACCCGCCTGCGGTTTACCGCGGGTTTCACCAACGAAGCACCAGGGTTTTTCGCTTCGTTGCAGCGATAGAACAAACACATTGTGGTCGAGTTTGGTGACATTTGTCGGGCCGACCCACTGAGTCCGTGCATGTTCAGGGAAGAGTTCAGGTTGATGTATTCCTAAATAAATGATCCCCAAATGGACTGCAGCTTCAGAAAGTTACATGAAGGACAACCTTTTCTTGAACCCCCAGACACCAAAAGTTATGTCCACTCCCAAAGAAAGAACACCCAAAACCACAAGTTCCACAAACCCTTTGCACCCACGCCGTGCGGCGACCTCCCGGGCTTTTGGGGGGGCCCGGGAGTACTCCGGGTCGCGCGGCGTCCGGACCCGAGGAAAAACATCGCCTTCGGAGTCCGGACCGGACCGGACCCGGACCCGCCCGATACGGGCGACGTGACCGTGGTCCGCTTGACCCGTGGTCCGCTTCGAAAGAGCGAGCTGCGCGCTGCGGAACGAGTGGGGGGCCGAGGGTCGGGTGAGTTCCAACACGAGATGGGGAGGGGTAGAACAGTTGGAGTGTTATATTGCAGGATGCGTAGCTGGTACTTTCGAAGATGGATGAATAATCGAGAAGAAGGTGCTCTTTGGATCCAAGATGCTGTACAAACAGAGGAGGTTTGTGTGTGTGTCGTTTTTTTTTCAGCTGATGTCGCATTTGATATCGCTATCCAAGCCTTCACCCGATGATCATCCACCCGCGGGTGATCATTCGGCCAAACACGGTGACCAGTGCTTTTGGACAATGGTTGGAACAGGCCAAACATGGCCCAAGCAAATTCGAAGGACTAGTTATGACATGGCTACTCGTTTATGTGTGTTGTTTATGTTTTCATGTTCTTTTCGTTTGCAATCAACAAACTTCTTCAATGTGATCTTTTTGGAGTCCCGAAAAAAGTGACCTTTTTCAGGCTTAAGTGAATTCAAAGCAGGGGATCAAGAGGTCACTTTAAAGAACCAGGAAACTGCAGGCAAACCAAGATGTAGTGAGTGTTACTTCTCTTTCACACCATGCATAAACCACCAAACTAGAAGGTACCAAACTCATTCAAACTCCACCTCTGAAGAAATATCTAAGAAGCACTAAGTAAGACATTCCGCCCCTAGCCACTGTTGTTGATGACGGAAGCCTTCACAAAGTGTGGAGCCCCCATGTTTATTCCAGACCCCCTTTAGTAATTTAATTCTGCGTCCAGTTCACCTAGCACGGAAAAATGCTAAAGCAGCAACTGCCAAAACGTCCTATGGCCAATTCAGTAACGAGTACGTAGTCGTGAATTTCAGGATTCTGCTCAAAACCAGCAAAAGAGGGGGCCTCCCTCAAAAGTTAACCTTGTTGAATCATCTCCTTTTTGCTTGTTGACCAGACGTTTTGGGAGACGCTCATTGCATCTATCTCCGTAGGGTTCAGATAAGCTTCCAATCAAACCATCCAAACTCAGACCATGTGGTGTGCCTTGGCCTTACAGACCTGCTTGGTACCGTCGATGTCCTGAGGCTGCAGCTTACGGAGTCCTTGGTGTCAGGAGCCGCTTCAGCACCAGCCACTGGGCGTTGTGAAAAAGCGCGGCGCCATCACGGGAGACCGCCGAAGTTGAAGAACCCTTCATAATCTTCATAGACTATCCCATAGGTACCCCGGCAGGGCTTGGGTCATCACTTAACCTTTGTTGGCGTGTTTTTTTCTGGGTGCCCTGTTGAGGGGGGAATGGATGGCATAGCGCCTATATACGGCCGGCGCGCGAGAAAAGAGCGGTCAAAAAGAATCATACGTGTTTCATACGTGTTTCACATTCCATGATAGAAGAAGCCCTCTTTTCGGACAGAAAGAGAAGGGTTTCCCATTTCATGATAGAAGGGTCGTGTTTCATGATAGAAGAAGCCCTGCACTGGGAAAATTGGCATCAGAACCCCTCTTTCGGGCCCGCGCTGGATGGATGGACGCTACTGCTTTGACGCTCAGAAGATCATACAAGGATCCTTTCGCAAACACTCCATGTATGGTTTAGATGCCTACATTGACCCCAGAAACCACCTAAATGTAGGCATCTATATTTCACACATGGAGCGTTTGGGTTCGATGAATCCTCAAAGCATTGCCGCTTGTTCGAAGCGTTTTTGTGCCCTGGATAAGAACCCATGGAATGGATGAAGTGAGGCCACCATCCATTACCAGATCGGCCAGACATTTGGACTGACCTATATAATATATAATATATACCCAGACGCTCCGTTCACAGCCCGACTGGTTCCTGAAAACCATAGGGATTGGTGAGAAACCCCAGACCCCTCCGAATTCGGGTCCGACCCGGTCCACGCTTTGGGTGCTGGTAATTCTGAATTACACCCTGTCTACCAGGACCCTCGAAACGGGTGCCCTGTCTGGAAGCCTATAGGTAGTGTGGGGGTAGTTCAGCCAGGACACCCCGACAGGAGGGTCCTGTCTATATGGAAACGTCGCCTCTTTTTGTCTGGCTATGTAGCAGAGCCGCTTCCTGCGGCCGCAGGACCCATGGGGGGCGGTTGCTCGAACCCGGTGTCACGTGACCGGCTCGGCTGGCCATGGCCATGTCCGGTGAGTTCTCAGTGAAAACGATCTTTGATGCGGATAGTTGATGATATGAGGCCTTTCAAAAATGTGCAACCCTCCATATTGAAGAGATTTGAAGAGCAAGTGCGTGCATAAAATAAAGGGGCATGTGTTTGTTCATCAAGAGACTACTTTACTTTGTGTGCTTTGGAGCAGTACACTCGAAGCTGGACATGGTGAACGCATGTGAACGTGAAAGTCTTGGTTGTCGGGGCCCATGTGGAATTGGTCCTATACACACCGAGACTTCTAATAACGCTTCCATGTTAGTGAATCTGAGTTTCGCCACTAGTTCTTTCACCAATGATCTGCAGAAAACGTATGAACACATACACTGGGATTCGGACTTGCCAACATGGAAGTGGAAACTTCCCCTGTTCGTAAAGGAAAGTGTTCACCTGAACCATCCTGTTTGGGTGTCCTGTTTGGAGATCCTTAGGTAGGCTAGTCCAGCCAGGACACCCCTTGGTCCTGGTTATGAGTCAGAGTCAAAATTATCGTCATGTAGTTCTAACTGGGGTGTTTTGTGCAGCTACTGTAGTGTCTTTTGTGTTTTCCTCGACAAACAATAGGGGACGCCCTAAAAACGATACCTCTAAGACTTTCATTGCTGCCAGTGAGATGGGAAGATCCTAGTGGTCAGAGCTTGGAGCCGTTTTGGCCTGCACAGTTGGGGGTCTACTCAGGTTGACCTTGATCATGGGAAGAGCTCGGGAAAGAGTGCGAATCCATTTTTGCTTCTATGTATGGGCGATTATATATACACCAAGATACCCGAACGGTGCCTCACAATGGGCTGGCTGGCTGCCTGGCTGGCTGGCTGCCTGCCTGTGCCTGCCTGTGCCTGCCTGTGCCTGCCTCTGCCTGGCTCTGCCTGCCTCTGCCTGCCTCTGCCTGCTTCTGCCTGCTTCTGCCTGCCTTTGCCTGCTTCTGCTTGGTACTGCTGGCTTGCCGGTGTTCCTTCTGCTGGCTTGCTGCCCCTCTTGGGCTGCTGGTCTACTGGTGGTTTGCTGCTGCTACTGCTGCTGCTACCCACAAATGGCTTCAGGATTCAGGATCCTGCTTGTGTCCACATTGAAAACACAATTCTGACTATAATTATCGATATTTGCGTTATGCCCAGAGTGCCGGAACCTGAGAAACGATACGGGACGCCCTAAGGACTCCTGTACAGCCCCAAGACTCTATAATTAGAGAGATTACGATTCCATCCGATAAACTACAGTGCTCACTGTAACCTGCTCATTCTCCGGCCGTCCCACCCGCGAAGCTTCCGACCGGTCCGATCTCGACCTCGTCGCTGTGGCCCCGCACGAGGTGCATCAGAGTTTGGAAGATCTCGATCTCCGCATGACTCGGCTGGTGCGGGACCTGGCGGTGACGGAGGAGGGGAGGCCACAAACAGCTGCCTGGGCTGGGAAATCAGATGAATAGTGTGAAGGGTCTGGTTTTGGAACGAAGTGTTAGTCTGAAGCTCCTTATTCTTCCCATTTTTTCTGTAACCTGGTATTCTTCCTTAGCCTGTCGCCGGAGCAGCTGCCCTTTCGCAGTTACAGGGGCAAAAGGGTTGTTACAGACCGATCTGCGATGGTCCGGAACTACATGGCCCTCAATCCCTCAATCCAAGTCATCCGGGTTTCCTGGTGAAGGAGGGATGAGTTGACCCAATCCATGGTCGTGTCGACCTCAATCCATGGTCCGTGTGTTTGCCTGCTGAAACACGGTTTCGAACGGAATCATGTCATTCGGACCTCTAGAGTCGCTGTCGCTTTTGGAAGGTGTCGCGTTTGCGCTTCAACCAGGAGTTTGGAAGATGTTGCATTGAAGTTATTAGTTGCCGCACACCAAAGTTTCCAAGGAAAACGGTCTAGTGACCGAAGAAAACCATGTAGTTGCCGAAGATCACCTTTTACTTACCAGACTTACCAAATGGAACCTTGACCTTGTTTTTGTTTCAGTTTCTGGATGGAAGCACAGAAAACACAAACCCGCACGTCACTGATTTCTAGACAAGGATCAAGGGCTTGACACTTTGGGTCAAAAAGTGCGCGTGGTTTGCAAACGTCTATGAGTTTATTGAGCCTGGGATGCGCCTCACACAGTTTGTGGTGATTTGGTTGATGTCCAAAAAGTTGTAGTTGTTGTGACCCCTGCCAGTTTTGCCAAAGCCTTTTTCGTTCCAATCCTCTTCAGGACTTTTCGAAAGCAAGCGAAGGGAAAGGTCGGAGTCCGATGCACTCGATGGATGAGAAGCTTATTCTCACAAGCGCATCCCCCAGGGAACAGAATCGCAATTGTATGCGATGTGCCCATCAACAGCAATGTTGAATCTTTGTCAGCAACCCCGCAGAAACTCAATTCTAAGATGTTCTAAGAACTCCAGGTGAATAGCAATCAATTGAAAACAAACATGAACGACATACGACAATCGTGTTGTTCTCAAATTGTCCATTCCGAGAGAAAGTACTGGACAAATGGACCAGAGGCAAGATGGCAACAACGCGTCGTTAAGCGATTGGAACTCTTTTTCGCCAAAGTAATGATGTCTAGGGTGGTTGGTCTCATACAAATCTCGGGACCCACGGTGTCGGAACACATTGCCCCTTCCGAAGTGTCTTTACATCCATGAAGGAGGGGGGGGCCCAAGCAAAGGCTTATTGATCAAGGTACCAGGTTTTTGGATGTTTTTGGACTAATGACTAATTGGAAACAAGGTCCAATTTGGACACCTGCTACCCTAAACAGCAAGAAAACCTCAATGAATGGAAAAGAGTGGTCTTGCAGTCCTGTGTCAGACACTCCCAGGTCAGCGCGCTGGAGACCGAACGTGACCATCGACGTTCGGACAGCGACACTTGGAGTACGGGCCAGAAGGGGCCATCCGACCGGAGACTGCCTGCCTACCATGTGGAGTTCGGTGGAGGTTCTGTCCCGATGTGCTAGGGGGGGACACCTCCAGGGCAAAAATCCGATGTATTGGTGGACCAAAAGCCACCGAAGCTGGGAGGATCCTCCACCCAAATCCAACAGGTGAAAAGTGAACCTTTATTTACCGAAGGCAAACCGGCTGGGGCGGGGTCAGGCCTGACCTCAGGCCTGTTTGCGGCCAGACATTCCAGACATTCCAGACGGGACCGGGGTGAGGCCTTTGGTTTGACGGAGTTCAAGCCGAGGATGTCGACGATGTTGGACACTTCTGCTGGTTGTATTGCCATGCCAGAGGGTGCCAAAGTGTCAGCAAGGCGCTTCTCCCAGCAACCTTGCTCTGGTTCCAAAGGGTGCAGGACTGGCCCGGGCCAGTCATGCCAGGACAGCATGCAGATACATGATCGAGTGTGGTTTCGACCGCTGGTGAGACCTAGATGGTCTGAGGCAACGACGTTCATTGATCATGCTTTCCATCCATTTGCTGCGTTGCTGCCAACCGGCAGCTTCGATGCATCTGGAACCATTGGCGCGAACCTAACGGAACGGCAGTGCAATTGGGGATTTGGTTGCCACCAAAGCAACATTCTCGCCCATCTCCGAAATCGATTGGAAAGTCGCAGTCTTTCTGCGCTGCATCCGGCATCCAGGTGTGCTCCTCAATTTTGGTCCATTTTTTCTCAAATTTATTCTACCCAACTCCACCCCAGACACTCCATGGGACTGCCATATATGCCGATCAGTTGGGGTGGTTGAAGAGGGGCCAATGGGGCGGCATATACATGGCAGTCCCAGACATGTCATGTCGCAAGTCGAAAAAACAGTGGGTGCGCAACGTCATGCGTGCATGGCGCGCTCCCCTAAGGAACGTCACCATGCCGCCCTGAGCGACGTCATGGACTCTTTGAAGGCGACGAGTCGCCGAGTCGTCTCTCACGGCGGGCGGAGGGGATCCAAGGCGAGCGACGCGGCGGTCCTCGCCGGTGACGACCGGTGGTCCGCTTGGCGGGGGACAGAAGCCGATTCTGATGAAGACAGTTCAAAAACGAGAAGAGATATATTAAATATATATATTTATAGCTATATGGTAAAGTGATGCAATATGATGATCATGCAATGACATAAATTACTACCAAGTCTTTGGAAGCCCAGGACACAGGCATGCAGCCTCTTTTGATCTGCGACGTTCCCAACCGTGTGTTCCCATTGAAGCGGTAAAAAGAGGCGAGTGCCTCATGCAAAAAAGCTCACAATTCAAGCGATTCTATTTGGAGATGTTCAGGGATTGGCAACCAGAGTGTTTTGTGTTGGTTCAGGCTGGGACACTATTTTTCACCCAGATAGCTGCGGAACTGCAAGAGTTGCTGGTGTGGCACGCCACTTTTGCAGCCAGGTCGATTCCTATTTGACCAACCAACATGTACTACAGGTCGAACGTTGGTCCTAGGAACTAGGAGAGAGTTTTGGCGGTCGAACGTGTCTATTCTTGAGTAGTCTTCCGAATTCGAACTCTCAACAAGATTTACACTCTCACATGGCTATGAAAGTGGAGCCATCCATGGCCATCCATGGCTATGAAGTCAACAGGACGATCGGACGTCCAAACAGGGGCTGCACATCCACGTCCGATGGGGCCCTCAGGCGGAGCGCAGCTTGCGGGGCAACGAGGCGAGAAAGCGATCGGAGAGAAGGAGAAGGAGATTTGTTCATGTAAAAAAATGAACCAGGTGAATAGATATCACCCAGATAAACATGAACAAATCTCCTTCTCCTTCTCCAGGTGATATACCAGGTGAATAGATATCACCCAGATACTGTAGTTGGCGTCTTTTTTTGCCGTCTATGGTGGTTTTAATGCAATGTGTGTGTTTTAATTTATTTTAAATATCAGTGTCAGACAACCCATATGAACGACCAATGTCCATAAGCCTGTCGCAAAAAAGTAGTTTGGTAACTCGTGGGTGAAGACGGAAACCAATAACTCTTGTCGATATTGTGTCCTGCTACGATCATCATTGGCCTGAGACACATCCACCTCGCACTCAACGGACATCCACCTCCCACTCATCGCATCAAGTACTATGGGCCAGACTCCAAGTACGACCATCGCACCATCTTAGTGAACTTCGTGAACTCGATGAGTTTTTGCTCCATTGTTCGTACGATCGTTCGTTCGTCCAATTCTCAGTTCCATGGGCCTGAAGATCGTGCGAAAACGGCGTATCTCCACGTGTTGGCCAAGTGGGCTGCGGACTTCGCCCAGTGATGGAGGAGTTAAAACCCTAGCATGCAATAGTAATAAACCTGTGGGATGTGAGGGACCCGCGAAGTTGATTCGAGGAGAGATTTGGAGCTCCAATTCAAAGATATTCGAAGTACCATTAGGCCTGTTCTATTACCTACTGTATCAATTTGTATAACAATCGGTCAAGAGTTATGACGTGTTATCACTGATCACTATTGTACAAAAAGACCTTTCCCAACGATCATCATCCACTGGGCCCTGGATGACATGGAGAGACCCACTCGATATATCCAATCCAAGTACCCAATCAGGGGAACTCCATGAGACCTAACCCACTGGGCTGGCCAATGGGGTGGCTAACCGCTCGGTGGTCTCGTGGCTCATGGTGGCTCAAGCCTCAAAGTAGGGCTCAAGCCTCGCCACCCGAACGGAGACGTCCGGCCGAGCGAAACGTTCAACTGAGGGCTTTCGAAGGGTTGAGCAAAGAAGCGCACAGCAATCTGAATCAAACCCAGGTGCCTATCAACATCTATTCAACCCATGATACAAACAGGAAAGCACGTTGCCCTCTAACATGACTTGGTGGGGCGTACTAATATGTCTCCCTGGCAAAATGCTAGCTAAGTTGTTGCACAGTTAACGCATGCAGGAGAGTTGCCCCATGCCCCACCATCGCATCTAGTTTGTACATTCTTGTGGCCGAACACCTTGGTGGCGAACCTTCACAAAGTAATTCACAGTATTCTAGCACCTACAAGCAACCTTGGCCAATGGCACCAAGGGCTGCTGACCAGGATGGTGTCTTCGGCTGCAGGATATAGACAAAGAACGATCCCAGAAGGAGCAGCGGAAAGTGCCACTTGAGGCATTGGCCCCAAAAGAACAACGCCAAAAGAACTCTTTGATTAGAGATAGCGTCCAGTAGCCCTCACCTTCCCAATCTGAAGTGTTTGCAATTATGCCCAGGGTCTACCTAACCTTGGGTGCGTGCTGGAAAAAAAGCACAACAGTGCTGTACCCTAGCTATAGTTGGTGATATCAATCTTTACTTGGGATGATCCGTCCCAATGGCTCAGTGACTAAAATTCATAGGTTGGTTGAAAACAGGAACCAGCTGAGTGTCCAAGTATTTTTTAAAGGTGTTGTATTGAGAAGACTGAGAACTGGATACTAGAAAACCCAGGTGCTGTGCGTTTTTCTTTTTTGGTCGGAAGGACAGCTAGCTACGGAAGCTGGGCATTGATCGAAGTGAGGACAGCTAGCCAGCTGTTCGTTCAAAACTCATGTTGCAAAGGTTGTACAACCAGCTACACTGGTTTCAGGTTAGATATCGATGGCACAAACACCCAAAGAAGTCCTTTTTATTGGGGTCCATATAAACCACGAAACTTGGGGAAACTGTTCCATCGAACCTCGAACCTCTGCAGCTGTTGGATCAACCAGCTGTTGGACAGCTTTCCACAGCCAACGGCGAGCTCAGGGTTGATATAACAAACGAGCTCAGAACTCAGAACCGCCCGAGGGGTGCAAAAAAAGGCTTTGCAACCAATAAGGGCCTTCGGAATGTAGAGACAATCTGGATCGCTTAGTTCGGTGCTTTTGTAACAGTCCACACCCTAGCTTCGCTCATCCGCCTGCAGGGGTGGGGTAGGGACCGGGTCCGCACAGCACCGCTCCGTTTTCCTGGATGAGATCCCCAAACCGTTCGTGAACAGAGCGACAGTTCCTGCTGTGATCGTCATCAGATGGCAGATGCCAAAAGTCACATCAATTCAGGATCATTCCGATTTTAGGGACGCATGCTTTTCCCATCTGCAAGAGGGTTTGTGGACACATGCCGACCGGTTAGGTCGGGAAGTGGACCTGGTGTTGGGCAGCTTGGAATCAGAAGCAGCGGGGACGGTAGCGAAGCAGTGGGGCGCAGACGAAACCTTTTCATGTCAAGTGCTAAGAAGTTTCTTGGCGAAGGGAATGTATTTTTGGACAAGGATCCCTGTGAACATGAGGGGCGAAAGAAATGCCCCCCTTTGTGTTCTTGATGATCCATTCCCTTTTTTGAGGGATCTGTTAGCATTCGATGGAGGGTTGCTTGGAATGTAGCCTGTACCAAGTGGAGTGCTGCAAGGAATTCCACAGTTGCATTCAATAGACTCCCTGAAATAATTGATTGTGGAAGTGGACAAAGGCCCCTTGGATGACCATTTTCTACAAACAGGTGGTTTTCCACTTCCATGATTTTTTCATGGAGTGTACCCAACAAGGAATTGTTTCAAAGTCATCTCCGCTCTGTGAGTGGTTAGTATGTATATATGGTTATCCTCACCGAGTAGGCCCTTGGTTGGGGCAGACGGAGGGCCTCAGAGACCCTTCTCAGCTCAACTCAGGGGCTCTTAAGACCTACAGACACCGGCTTTTCCGGCTGTTTGTGGCCTCTATAGAGGATGGATGGATCCTCCGAGTTGATTCGTCGGGAAGATCGGGAAGTCGTCTCGCGCACGTCTCGCGACCGGGTTGTAGGAACCGTGGTTCGATGACCTGGATTGATGGCCGTTTTAATGGCCAACAAGATGGCAAAGATGACACAGTGAGCTTGTAGAACAGGTTTCTTCTACAAAACTCGGAAATCGAAGTGGTCCAATGCCCAAGAACGGCGGAGCCCGCGCTCTGGAGCCTCCAGGCTGTGCTGGCTTTGCTGGTCCTTCTTTGTGCATGGCTTCTACGGTCAACACCAGAGGTACAGGTGGGCTGTCTTTTGCTCAGTGGACTTGTTTGCTGGGGAGGTGCAGGGATTTGCAAGCAGAGTGGAGATCTGATATATATATATATAGATTATATATATATAGAGATATAGGTTTTTGGAGGGTGGGAACCTTAGGTGTACTTACTTCCCACACGTGATCGACCGTCAGAGCAGTTTTCTTGGAACTGAAAACAAGCTCGTTAGCATCCACTGGGAGGAGAACCGTCCAAAACTAACCAGGATTCATTCTAGTGCCCCCAGAATAGAGAATCTTGGTGCGAAGCTTCCATATGGTCGGACAACTCCTACGGAAGACGCTTCATCGAGTTTCTTTTTGGGCCGCATTTGGACAGCAAAGCCCACCCCAGTCCCCCCGTCCCGAACCGAACACGGCCCTGCCGCATCCCGCGTCCCCGCCGTGTCGTCCGCGTCGGTGGAACGACAGGTGCCTTGGAGCGACGCGGGCTTCTACTATGAAGGCATCGTCGTTCGTCCGGGGCGTTCGGGCACCGGTGATAGGACCGGTGGTAGGGGGAAGACATCGATGGCGACATGCGACGCGATTTTCCTGGTCCAAGGAGTTGACCTAACCTTTTTGGAGGGATGGTTTTCATTTAAATCTACCAAAAGGAACAGGTGAAATATAGAGAAACTGGGTGGTTATAGCATGGCAATCTGAAAAGAATACGCAACCACTTGCAATCGTGTAAATACCGATTCCGATGACTTGTCGTAGCGCCAGATCCCGCAAAAAAGGAAAACCATCCGGAAGCCTCGGACCAGCAGTTCCAAAAGGAAAATGAGTGGATGTGGCACCCATCCAGGGCTCGTGGATGTGGCACTCATTTTCAACCCCAAAAATCATCCCCTATCCTCCAATTCGTTCGGTTGCCTAACTCCATGGAACTGCTGACTTGATCTGATCTTGATCCCCCCTAAATCATCGCCCGCCGGCATCCGTCGACTGCGACGCCCGAGCACCGACCCCCAAGCTTCGGAGTTCGACTCGTGTTCGCTTCGAGCTCGTTTCTGGAGAGGGCGTCTTGAGAGGTGTGCGATTTTGCTTTTGTCGTTGACTTGCTGCTGCCTTGCTTCGTGACAACATGGGGTGGGGGGGTGGGGGGGTAATGACGTCGAGTTTCTTTCGTTCAGTTGAAGATAACCTTGTACTTCGTTTACTTTAAGATAACTTTGCACTTCGTTCACATTAAGATACCTTCGTACGTTTTTCACTTTAAGATAGCTTCATAGTTCGTTGCATTGTGCAGGATTTTGGTTCAACAATGGTTTGCCCCCAAGCCTTAGTCTTGGTGTTCGTCTTGTTACTTCGCATTGCCGGTCAGCCGTGTCCGTCTTCGGATCGTTTGCTGTTGTTTTTGCTTCGTGTGAATCCGTTTACCCTTGATCAGTACATAGACGGTTGGTGCCGTTCTGGTCTAGATTCGCTCGATCCGGATAGATCTTGGTGTGATTGGTCCGATTTACCTTCTTACATACCTTTGTTATCAGATGGGTGGAACACAACTGGCTGACAGCTCATGGAAGAGCTTGAAAGCTTGGAGACCCAAGCATGTGAATACAACCAAAGCAAGGAGTCGAACAGTCAATCCGGAACTCTTGAACTATATGTTCGGAGTTGGCAGTTTCGCTATCACCACACAGGAGATGATCTCTTCCCTGCCA